CTGGGGGTTGTCGGTGGGGTTTAGCTGATCGTTCACATGCAGTTTGAAGCTCCCTACGTCTCTCTCACTGCTGAGCCCACCGGCCGTTCTCCGATCTGCCCCTTGGTGAAATGCCCTTTCAGAGCAGGGCAGCCCCCCAAACAGCAGACAGGGCGAGCGTGTCCTGGAGGCGTCCCTGGGGCCTGACCCCCATGGCCAGCTGCCATCCTAGGAGCACCCCCCTCCCCTATGACTTCTTCCCTTTGCTCGTCTTCGTTTTCATCGTCGTCTCCTTCTGCTTCTCCTCCGCCTCAGCCGCTTTCTTCTTCTCCTCCTTCAGCTCCTTGTACTTCCACTTGGGCAGCTCCAGCGTGTTCTTGTTTTTCCGCGACCGCGGCGGCTTCTCCTGGCAGGCCGGGGGGAAGGTGGCCTTGACCAGTTTGATTTTGGGGATGTGGCCCCCGGGGAAGACGCTGTTCCTGCGCAGTAGCCGCAGGGGGAGGAAGCTCAGCATGCCGGAGGGGCTCCGGTACGGGACCAGGACGCGGGTCTCTGACCCAGCCTGGCCGTTGCAGGAGGATGAGTCGGGCTCGGACTTGGCATCAGGATCCGGCGTGTACTCCTTGAGGATCTCCGGCACTGACAGCCTCCGCTTGCCCACCTCGGGGGGGCTCCCGGGGCAAATGGTTTGGCAGGCCGTAGCCACAAAGGGGCTGGCCAGGCATGTGGTCATCCGGACCATGTGGTCCATCACCCCGTCCGCCTCGGGGTCATGCGGGAGGTTGATGCTGAAGGTGGAGCAGATCTTCTCCAACAGCCTCTTGCACCTGGATTTAGTGGCCAGTGCCTTGGCCACCAACTCGGGCAGTGCCGGCCACTCGGGCTGGTACTGGTCACTGAACTGCTCGGCTCGGGGCCGCTGCAGGATGCTCCGGATCTGCACAATGGTCTCGAAGCGCCCAGTCAGACCTGCCCACTCCCGGGCTGTCTTCCTCCGGACAGGATCCACCGCTGTCAGGTCAGCTCCTGAGACCACAGGGGGTAAAGAAAGGGCCCGTTATAAAAACGAACCCCTTGGTTGCGTAGCTGCAAGTGGCTTGGGTCAGGGCACGAGAGCAGGCCTGTTCCAGATGGCCTCATCACAGACTTTGTGGATGGGAAAACGGTTTTAGAACAAAATAGAAGGAGGCAGTGTGATCTAGCGGATAGTGCCCTGAACAGGCTGGGCTCCGCTCCTAGCTTGGCCGCTAGCCTGCTGAGCAACGACGGGCAAGTCGCGGCACCACTCTGCCTCAGTTTCCCCATCTGTAAAATTAGGGTTAATGAGACGGGCCAGCTTTGTAAAGTGCTTTGAGATCTGCTGATGGAGCATTGAATGAGCACTGGATGGCAGCAGAGAACAAGGAGCAAGGCATTGCTGGGCACCAGGGCTCGGATCTAACCCGTCACTTGTGTTCCCTGCGTTGAAAGAGCCCCCGGAAGAGGTCGTGGGCCCGTCTACGCTGCAGTTGAAGGTGTGATTGCAGCGAGTGTAGACGTACCCACGTTAGCGGTAAGCTAGCTAGCGCAGGTCCCAATGGGCACACTCTGCGAGCAGAATCAAGGTCCAAGCTGCCGTGCTATTGGTACCAAGCTACGCTAAAGCTTGCTCACTCGTGTACCTCTCCAAAAGCAGCGTGGCTGTCCTCGCTCGGGCGCTGAGCCCCACCCCACGCCGTGGGTTTCAGAGCCCGGGCTCCAGCCTGAACCCGAACAGCTACACTGTTGATTTAGCCCCGTAGCTTGAGCCCAAGTCAGTACATCCAGGCTCTGACACTCACGGCCGCAGGGGGGTTTTTGATGTACACGTAACCTAAATAGCTAGTTGAGGTCAACCCTGTGCACCTCCCCTGGGAATAACCTTGACTGGCTACGTTGAGGTAAATCAGCGTCTTGTCTCACTCAGATTTCACACGGCGAGAGCGATCCATGTGAACACACCTTCTGGCTGCGAAGATGTAGCCTAGGAAACAAGTGTATTTGACCCAGGTGGAAATCCTAGGGCAGCCGAGGCAGTTGTCAGTTTTAACGTGAGTGAGCCGGCCAAGGTAACCCCTACGTGGGGGGCTGAGCTAACGCATGTTCAAGTTGCAATGGCCTCATCTTTACCGGGATTTTCAAATGAGTCAAAAAACTCTTTTCCCCTAAGCTCGGCCCTTGCGCAGCAATTCCCTGAGACACCCGAGAAAGCCACGCACCTGCCAGGAGCAGTGCGGTGACGCACTCCTTCCGCCCCTGCACTGCCGCCTTCATGAGCGCCGTCAGGCCCCGTACATCCCGCTTCTCGATCTCCACCATGGGGTAGTAGTTCAGGAGATAGTTAACTACCGTGACGTGTCCTTGACAGGCAGGGAGAGAGAAGCTGCATTAGAATTGCAGAACATAACAAGAAATGAGTATTTAGCGCCCACTCGCTGAAGGCTGCGTGCATTAGCGGTGTGACTGGGGCGGTGTCCATGAAGGCCCCAGTGCAGTGCTTACCGGGGAGTGAACCAGAGTGATCATGCACGTGTTTGACTTTTAAAATCCTAGGAAATGAAATGCATCAGCCCCTCTGCAGGCAAACCAGGAAAGAATCCAAGCATGCAGCTTCCTACACTGCTGGGAACACAGCTGGGTGAAACCTGGGTCACGTTTTCCTCCCATTTACCTTAGTAAGATCCTACTTCTCTTCCCTCCGTACTGGGGTGTAGATTGGGAGTAGCCAAGCTGAAGTTAGTAGAATTATTCTGGCTTTGGGAGAGGCGAATCAGGCTCTAAATGTGCAATGTAACAGGCCAGATCCTCAGTTGGTGTCAATCACTGTAGCGTCACTGACTTCTGTGGAGCTCTGGTCGTTGACAGCAGCTCAGGATCTGGTCCAACATACAGCACCGCTCAGGCAGGGGCTGCTCTGAGCCCAAGGGGACATTGTTGTAGGAACCTTAACTTTGGAATTAAATGACTTAATGGTTTAAAAACTGCTATTGTAAAGAGGCCTGCCTTTGTAATAACCTGTGGAACTCACTGCTGCAGGATAACTGGGCATCGCCTGTTTGACTGCCCTCTAATTTCAGTGAGCGTTCCATGCCCTTGTACTCTGGGGAGCTCCTGTGTGCAGCTCCAGCACCGGCATACCGCAGCTCCTACCTGCTTGAGCAGCGATCATGAGGGCCGTGTTCCCGTCGTTATCCTGGTGATTGATGTCTACGTAGGGGCATTTGCTCAGCAGGGTCACAATGTCCATGAAGCCCTTGAAGCAGGCCACCATGAGCCCATTCTGGGGAGGAGCATTCAGAACCAGTGTGTCAGTGAACGCCAGCATCTTCCTCTCTGTACCCCCGCCCCGCCCACCCCCGCATAGCACTTGCCCCTCTTGCAGGGCCTCACCTACCCTCTCCCGTGCTGCCAAAGTGCATGCTGGGAAAATGGTTTGTAGCACGAGAGAAGTTACAGGGCTGGGCTCTGGTGCTGAGAACCAACAGGATCCGAGGTAAAGGGGCAGACCAAGGGTCCATCCAGTCTGCCTCCGGGCTGTGCCGGACTGGTGTGTCTAGTCCCCGTCTCCCGCCTCCAGTGCTGGGAACGCTTTCTGCCCCTCCCACGATGCACCTGGACAGGACATGGGGTTGGCTCCAGCCTTGGCAGGGAGACGGTGCGGAGTGTGGGCTAGGAGGCAGAGGAGCTGCAGGGTCAGTCTGTGTCCAACCGCCTCACTAGGAATCCTCTTGCTAGTCATCCCGGTCTCCCCCCGAGGGGCTCCGTGCCCACGGCGCGGGAATGCTTACCCTCCCGTTGATATCCAGCTCCGTGACCTCCTCCCGGCTCACCCCACGCGCCAGCGTCTCCTGCAGCAGCTTGGCGTTGTTCCTGGCACAGCACTGGTAGAAGGTGAGCACCTGCCCACCATCCGCGTCCGGGGCGGGCTCGTAGCAGGGGTAGACGGAGTCGTCGGAGAGGATGCTGCTGGTGTCAGAGAGCTCTGCCTCCTCCGTCTCCTCCTCCTCCTCGTAGTGCAGCTCCGGGTCGGAGGCATCCAGGCTGGTCTTCCAGGTCTGCAGCACGCTCTCCTCCACTGCTGTCATCTGTCACGCAGCCCATTCAGAGCGAGGAGAGCCTGGCACGGCACCACCTGCCCACCCTGCTCCAGGAGCCTCTGGGCGCCCCTCACCCCTGGGTGATGACTCTGCAATGCAAGCCTAGGTCAGTGAGGCTGGGCCAGGCCCAGACCCCCCACCCCTGCCCAGGGACCGGTCGCTCTGTGGTGAGGCTGGGGGAGCCCTGGCTTCTCTGGGCCACTCGCAGGGGCAGCAGGACTGACAGGTGCTCGAGGCTGATCTTGGCACATGGCTCCATTCGCCCTCGAGACCAAACTGGGATTAGACCCCCCACCCTCGAGCAGCTCACCGAGGCTGGGACCCAGGTGCAGAGCTGGCCGTAAAACCATCACCCGGGAGCCGCAGAGGGCTGGGGGCAGCTCGGGACCTTTGGGGATGCAGAACAGGGCCCCGCGCCCAGCCTCTGGGCCACGTGCCATGTGGGGACCCAGCCGGACAGGGGGGGAACCTGTGGGCCCCTCCCCAACTGCCCCTTCCATTGGCATCCCTTAACCCAGATTCCTCTCCTGCTAGGGGTGGGCGAGGAGGGAGTGTCGCTGTGCCCAGGTCCCAGCAGGCTGGGCCACTACCCGGCTGGCTAGCAGCGCTGCCCCCAGCCCAGGGGCTAACTCTCTGCGCCCCAAAGTCCTGCGTCTGTCCCGTACGCTGCTAGTGACACAGAGACCCTTTGCTGCCCCACGTGTCCAGCTCTGAAAGCACCTGCTTGTCAGTTTGAATTAAACAGAGGCGGGAGAACGGGGGGGGGGGGGGCTCAAGCTCCTCCCCGTTCTCCCTGCCCCCCGTCCTATCCCCACGCAGGAGAACATGGCAGCTGCAAAGCCCATTCCCAGGCAGAGCTGGGGCCAAGTCCAGCACTGAAGGGGTAAATTAAATCCCAGGGCCAGGTCCCCTCCCTGCTGGGGAAGGGGAGCAGACTCCAGACCACCAGGTCCGAAGCCCCCAGGCCCCGCCCGGGAAGTTGGCAGAGCGTGCGACGGCCCTGCACCCAGCTTGCTGCATTTCTCTGTGTGTCTGTAACGGGATCACTCGTGAACGCTGCAGCCGAGCTGCCCCGGCGTTTCCGGGACTGTTCTGGGCACCCATGGCCAGAGCTCTAGTGAGGTGGGGAGAATGGGGGACAAAGGGAGCCCTGGACCCCTCGCTAGCACAGCCCTGACATGTACCAGCCTGGAGGGAAGAGGAGAAGCCGACTCTGAGCCGCCCCTTGGCCCGTGCAGTCCAGTGTTCTCTGCCTGGGGGCAGCCCTGGTTCTCTGCTGCCCTCCCTCGCACCCCAGCCCTATGTGTGCCCAAGCTTCCTGCCTACCTGACCATTAGTGTCTCCTGCCCCTTCCCTGATGCACCTGTCGCCGGTCCCTGCAGGCTGGGGGATGCCGCTGCTCGGCTCTGGTCCAGCGAAGTTTCGGAAATCCCTGGAAATCCTGAGCCAGCGTTCGCCTCTCGGCCCCGGCACGGAGAAATCTCTTCTCTCCCTCCCAGGGCTTATCCGGGGACACTCAGCTCTTCCACCTCCGTCCCTGGCCCTCTGGGTTTCAGCGCTGCTCCAGCCGGGCAGAGACGCTCCCTGACACACTCAGGCATAGGGAACGTTTTCCCTTCTTCCCCCTCCCCAAGGGAAAGCGGGTTCTGCCCCGGGCTCCCGAGCGGTGACAGCTGGCACGTTGCTGGGGGCTTAGCCGCCAAGGCATCTTAATTTAAACTGTTACTTAAAACGGCTCTGGCCGCCCTGAGCAGGATCAGGCAGGCGTGTGTGGGATTTGGTGTCCTTAGCTGGAGAAGGGGGTGCTGGGAGCCACCACACTCTCCTTGGTGTGTTTTCACACTCGCCTCGCTGGGAGAGCAGGACACTGCGACCCAGCTCAGAGCTCCGGGGGCCGAAGGAGACAGTGCCTGGGGCGTGCAACTTGGAGCCTTCTTTGCACGTGCCGTGCAAACTGCTGAGCAGATGCACAATGGGTCGCTTGCACAGGGAAGTATCAGATCTGCACAACTGCACCTGCAAATGAAACACCCGGGTGCAGTCGCGTTTCCTGCCTGGGCCACTGAACCCAGCTCACCTGCTTTGGGCGAGACTGACCAAGGACTCTCAAGAGCAGCGCCGCTGGCCAGGCCCCGTCTCCCGAAGGAAGCCAGCGGCTCCTCCTTCCTCTTGCTTTGTTTCCCAAATGAAGGGGCCAGGGCGGCTCGTGGGGTCCCAGCGGAGGGTGGGTCCCCCAGCAGCTGTTAGTTCAACTCCAGCATGGCTCAGACTGGAAGCTGTGACCCTTGCATGGCTAAGTGGGCCTTGTGTGTGACACACCCACACAAGATGGGTCTCAGTCCAGATGGGTCTCAGTCCAGACCCGAGCAGACAGGTGTCTCCGCAGTTAAGGCCACTGTCCCACTGGGAGCTACCGGGTCCCTTTGCTGGGGGCCTTGGGGGTGAAGCTAAAGGGGGAGCAGGCCCGGGACACGAGACTCAGGGGCAGGCTGAGCTGGGGGCAGGGCAGGGTGTGGGGAGCTTGTCCTGCTGCTGTCGCTGCTGCGGGGTGAAGGCTCCAGGGCCCCACTGACAGCCTGTGGGTCGCTTCCTCCCCTGACCCGCTCTGCTGGGTGTGTCTCCGTGGGGAAGGCACGGAGGTGAGTCTTGGGCTAGCAAAGGGAGCCGGAGTGTGAGCCCTGGGGCCTCCTCTCCGCCCACAGCGCATCCCTGCCCCATGTGCATGGCTACCCCTTGCCACTGGGCCCCCGTCCTGGCTGGGAGAGGAGCGGGACCTACTGACAAGAGTGGGCACCAGCCCCGCTCCAAGCCCTGGGGATTTGGGGGCCCCCAAATGGTGACTGGGGGCACGTCCACTCCCTAGTGCACTGGGCGGGCTGAGGAGACATGGGGCCGATGCTGCGGCTCTCACAAACGTCCCTGAGTGCCCGGGAGCCCTCTGCAGCCATTACGTAAGACGGCAAGAATAGCGCCTGGCTGCTGCAGCCCTGAGCCGCCCGGTCCTGGCGCAGGAGCCTGGTCCCCACGTGACGTAGGCCCCTGTCCTGCCTGCCACGTGCCGCCGTCAGGCCTCTAGCTAACCTTCCCCAGCCCTCTTATCACAAGCCAAGGCCTGGAGCGGCTTTAGGGCTTACAGGGGTTATCGCAGGGAGCCGCGCGTTATAATCTGTCCTGGCTGCAGACAGGAGCCTCTGAGCAGCAGAGACCTTGGGATGCCTGGCCTGGCCTCGCCACAGCCCACAGGTGCATTTGCTTATTATAGCTCCAGCACTTGCCCTCTGCCCCGCCTTCTCCCGCGGCCATTGCTGGGCGCTCTGCGGGGCCCAGCGCCAGTGGGGAGGGAGGCCAGAGGTTGTGGTCTGTGCAGCACCTGACATGACACAGCTGTAGTCTGGACACTGCTGCAGAGCGAGGCGGGCTGGCGGGGCCCCGGGCAGGGACTCGGGAGATGTGGATTCGAGTCTCAGCACTGCCACGGACTCGCTGTGTGGCCCTCCTGGCTCCCGCGTCCATACCCGGGGGATGATAACGCTTCCTGCCTCTGTCTCTTCTATTGGGATTGCAAATCCCGTGTGTTTGGCCTGGCATCTCTGCAACGAGAATGGGAACCGAGGAGGGCGATAAAACGCCACAATGTCCCAAAGAGAAGCAAGCCCTTTGCTGTTCCAATTGTATTGTGTGCTGCCAACAGTGGCCACAAGGGGCTGCCACAGGACACGGCCAGAGAGCCGGTTTGCCAGCGGATTGATTATTAATGTGGAGCGGGTGGCTGGATAATACGCAGCCAGTGCGTGACTTGTTTGTCCTTCCCGCTTGTCATGAACGTCAAACCAGCTTGCAACGAGAGACTCTCGGCAGGCGGGGCTGGGCACTTCCCTACTCCATCACCTCCCTCTTTTACCGCAGATACAAACATGCTGGGCCTGAAGTATTTGCTGCCTTGTTACAATCAAATGGCTCTTTGATTTCAAACGCTGCCCGCAGTCCCTGCTGTGGGGGTAGGGGCAGTCGGGCAGGGCTCCGGGGCATGTGCTTCCTGTCTGTGCTGGGCCGTGTGGAGAAGTCACTCACCCCCACTTGGCCTTTTGTGCCCCACACAAAGATGGTGGTGGTGGTTTGGGATTTGTATTGCGGGAACGGCCAGTCATGGCCCAGGGCCCCATCGTCCTAGGTGCTGTAAAAACAGAACAAAGGGACGGCCCCTGCCCCACAGAGCTTCCCATCTGCTCGATGAAGAGGGAAGTCAAGTCACGGGGGGAAGGGGGCCAAATTGCTCGTTGTCATTTGGTGGCCCGTGATGCGCTGACTCTGTGGGCCTCGGTCCAGGGCTCAGCACACAAGTCTCCATGTTGCAGTTTGGAGAGAAACCAGGGGCAGAGACTGAGCTCCCCTCCCCTCCCCAGCGGGGCGTGATGGCCGGACAGTGGGGGGACCTGGAGAGAGCCATGAATAACCCCCCTTCGGCCCCTGCTGGTGGGTGACGTTCAGCCCCTAGCAGGGCTCCGCCCGTCACGCTGGAGTGGAGGGGGAGGGGCATAAGAGGCATGTGATGAGGAGAATTGCGGGGCCTTCGTTAGCCGGGCGGAGGCGGTGCACCCAGGCCTGCTGTACCAACTTGCGTATTTCAGATCAACTAAGAGCCAGTGGTGGCAGTGATAGAGCTCACAGCAGCCACTAGGTGGCGCCATCGGTTGTATTCTCCCAGCGCTCAGGGGCCCCAGTCCTGGCCCCTTGTGCCAGGAGCTGTACAAACACGGAACAGGCAGATGGTCCCTGCCCCAAGGAGCTGACACGGAGGCCAAACATCGGGGGGTTGCACCAGTGTCGCTCTCTGAGGGTAGCCAGGACACCCCGAGTGTGAAGAGGAGCAGCCTGGCGGAACCTGCGTTCTAATCTCCCAACTGAGCGTGACTGACAATGCGGCAGCTACCTGGCAACCGGGGCCTTTATTGGCAGCGTGGCTATCTCAGCCCTCCCCCCCCCCCCCAACACATACAGTGCACACACCACA